CCCTTCCAGCCGTACCTCCACCGTCCCGCCCCCAGCCTCCACTCTGAACAGGGCAATGACCCGCAAGAAAGGCCGCGTCAAACGCAACCAGGGGGCAGCCAACTCCCACACCGGGTGGTAGCGACTTCCGACCTGGACGAACCAGGACACGCCCTTCGCCAGGCTCAGGGACCGAAGGAGGGCGTGCTCCTCCCCTTCCTCGCCTTGGTCCTCGAAGTTTCCAGGCTCCGAACGCTTTCCCGCTGAGCTTTCTCCTCCCTCCCGGCGGCGTAAGGTCAAGGTCGTTCTGAAGCCTCCCAACGACAGGCACAGCTTGCCAGCACGCCATTGGACACAACCCGCGCCGCACTCGAAGCTTGCAACATGCAGTTCCCAGCAGGGGTTGATGATGAAGGAAAGCCCTGGGAGATGGGCCCGTAAAAATTGAGGTCCGATGCTGCGAACGAGGTGTTGAAGGCACCACCACGCAATGCCAAGGACCACCGCCACGATAAGCCACAGGACTACGAAAGCAGAGAGAAAGAACATGCTGTGCGCGGCGGCAAAGAAGAGGGAACGATCTGATAGCTACAGAAAGGTGGCAGGGACGATCACCGCCTGAATTTAGGGCCGGGGGAGACGGGCCATACCACCCTGTCGCGTCAAGGGCTTCAAATCCTCCCAGTCACCTGGGAGTACTGGGGAGTACGATCAAGATGGACACGGGAATGAGCATGAGAGGAAGTAAATCTACGCCCGGTGTTTGGGCGCCGCGGGATCACTTCCGCACCAACCTCGGGTCTGGGAACAAGCAGTTCCAGCGAGAGGGAGGGGAAAGGCAGGACGTTGAGCCGTCAGACTTGCCTACTTTTCGTGTCTGGACGAGGTGGCGGTCATCAAGAGATTCGCTGCGGGGGTCTGAGAGTTCATTTGACGCAAGTAGCCTTTGATCAAAAGCTAACGGGTGGTCAAGCCCTTTATATGCGCATACGGTCCCTCGCCTCCCACTCATCACGAAGTGACTACCCGTACGTTCGCACACAGCCCGACCATGCAGAACAAATGCAATCATGGCGTTGCTTCGATATGCCAAGGGTGCAGCAATGAGGAGCCCTCGT